AGGTCATCTAGTCCAACCCCCTGCTCGGGCAGGAAACCCTACACCATTTCGGACAAATGGCTGTCCAGTCTCTTCTTAAAAACTTCCAGTGTTGGAGCATTTACTGCTTCTGGAGGCAGGCTGTTCCACTGATTAATTGTTCTCACTGTCAGGAAGTTTCTCCTTAGTTCTAGGTTGCTTCTCTCCTTGATTAGTTTCCACCCGTTGCTTCTTGTCCTGCCTTCAGGTGCTTTGGAAAATAGCTTAATTCCCTCTTCTTTATGGCAGCCCCTGAGATATTGGAATACTGCTATCATGTCCCCCCTTGTCCTTCTCTTCGTTAAACTAGACATACCCAATTCTAGCAACCGTTCCTTATATGTTTTAGCCTCCAGTCCCCTAATCATCTTTGTTGCTCTTCTCTGTACTCTTTCTAGAGTCTCAACATCTTTTTTACATCGTGGTGACCAAAACTGGATGCAGTATTCCAAGTGTGGCCTTACCAAGGCATTGAAGAGTGGTATTAATACTTCACGTGATCTTGATTCTATCGCTCTGTTAATGCAGCCTAGCACTGTGTTGGCCTTTTTGGCAGCTGCAGCACACTGCTGGCTCATATTTAAGTGATTGTCTACTAGGACTCCGAGGTCCCTCTCACAGTTACTACTATTGAGCATGGTGCCACCTATGCTGTACTTGTGCATTTGGTTTTTCTTGCCTAAATGTAGAACCTTGCTTTTTTCACCATTGAATTTCATTTTGTTAGTTAGTGCCCAGTGTTCAAGTCTGTCCAGATCCTTCTGTATCTGAAGCCTGTCTTCTGGAGTGTTGGCTATTCCTGCCAGCTTGGTGTCGTCTGCAAATTTGATGAGTTTCCCATCTATCCCTTCATCCAAATCGTTGATGAAGATGTTGAAGAGTACTGGGCCCAGAACAGAGCCCTGGGGCACCCCACTACACACTTCCCTCCATATAGATGCAGTTCCATTGAGGACCACTCGCTGAGTACGGCCGGTCAGCCAGCTACGGATCCATCTGGTGGTGGTTCTGTCTACCCCACATTTTTCTATCTTGTCAAGTAGTAGGTTGTGATCTACTTTATCAAATGCCTTACTGAAGTCCAAGTAAATTATGTCCACAGCATTCCTCTGATCCACTAATTTTGTCACTTGGTCAAAGAATGCAATAAGATTTGTCTGGCATGATCTATTTTTGACAAACCCATGTTGGCTTTTAGTAATGACTTTGTTTGCCTCTAGGTGTTCGTTGATTCGTTGTTTGATTATCTTTTCCAGGATCTTCCCAGGTATTGAGGTCAGGCTGATAGGTCTGTAATTTCCTGGATCCATTTTTTTTCCTTTTTTGAGGATGGGAACTACATCAGCTCTTTTCCAGTCCTCTGGTAGTTCCCCTGTGTTCCAGGATCTTTGAAAAATATAGTTCAGTGGCTCCGATATCACATCTGCCAGTTCCTTGAGAACTCTGGGGTGTAATCCATCTGGTCCTGGCGATTTGAACTCATCTAGGCTGGACAGGTGCTCCCTAACCATTTTCTTGCCTATCTTAACTTGTGTTTCTGTTTTGTTTTTTATGGCACTATTTTTGATAGGTTGGTCTGTTTTTTCCCTTTGTGTAAAGACAGATGCAAAAAATGAGTTAAATAGTTCTGCTTTCTCCCTGTTGCTTGTCACCTTCTTGCCACTTCCACCCACTAATGGACCAATCATTTCCTTCACTTTTTTCTCCCTGTCAAAATCTAGTTCTTCATCTCGGACCACAATCCCCTGCTTATTTGAGTTATCTTCACAAATACCTTTACCTATCTCCTTAATGTCTATATATATATAATATAATATATATATATATATATATATATTTGTGTGTGTGTGTGTGTGTGTGTGTTGTGTGTGTATATGTGTGTGTGTGTATATATATGTGTGTGTGTGTGTGTGTATATATATATATATATATATATATATATATATATATATATATATAGCATATGGGACAAATTCTTTCTGTCCCCAAGGCAGGAACATCCCAAAGCACCTGTCTCTGGATGTAGTGGTGTAAGGATAACAATATAAGAAATAATTTGCTGCTCATATATAACACCAGGTGTTGCTCTACATCTAGCTAAAACTGAGTTCAGGCAGGAGTAATAAGAGGCAACAGTCAATTCTGTAAGTGGTCACTTGCATGGAAAACAAGAGCCCTGCTTTGGTTGCAATTTATCAGCAGAATTCCATTATCAGCAGCCTCTCATTTGTTTCTAGACAAATTGAAGCCAAAATAAAAGCTTTGAAGTCTGTTATAGAGTTATGAGAAATATTTCTGTACTTGTCATCCTGTGGAACACTCCCAAAACATTTTACAAAACGATGAAATAGTTCTGAAATAAATAATTTAAATATGGAGTGATCAAACAGAACAAACTTCCCTAAGGTACAAAGGGCAAAGCTTTCTTGCAAAAGATGCTGTCTGTGAATTCTTTTAGGACTTTCTTGTGGCTCTCATCACACAATGAGGCAAATAATCAATGTGCAAATGGGAAAGAGGGCTTCTCTTATGTTTGTCTCCTTGTGAGAATTCTCAGACCAGAATTTCTTTGTTTCAGTGGGCAGGAAATATATCTAAATGTTGTAAAATATAAAGGTTTATAGTTCTGCTTTTTTCTGTTTTAAAATAAGTCTGAAGTCTGATTTATTGTTTGAGTTTGATCTAATATTTTGTTCTGTATACTGTGGGAGTACTGAAAATCCGTAGGAAAAGATCTACAGGTGCCTAATGAGATTCAGCTACAGAATTTTACAATACATTTTAATCTTGTCAGATTAAATGTTTAACATATGCCTGCTATCAAAACTCCATGTGACAAGTCCCATCTTAAGAGGCACCCCCAGCTTTCTGTCTCAAAGTGAAAATTTTCTTTCCTAAGACGATGATGCCTAGTCTCGTTCAGTGCCCTTTCTTAAAATCAGCTTGCTTTTTGTACTTGGAACAATTATGCCTATCTTTTTTAAAAGTCTGTTTTGTGAAGAAATTTTTCTGAATTTTGATAAATGTGGATAAATATGTTTTCTGCTTAGCTGGTATACTAATTTTCTTTTGCTTTATTCAAAGAATGAATTAGCAATGACTATCTTAAGCTCAACGTTCATTTAATGGCTCCGCTGTAACTCTGTGCTTTGCGATCTCTTTGTTACTTGCCTATAATTTTCAATACACTTTTCCTTTGTACTCTGTTAATAAGTTCAATTGACTGGAGGAAACCAGTAGACGAACCAGCATCTGGTGATCAATGAAGCAACTGACCATTCAAGCAATTAACCTAGATTTTTTTTATTATTATTCATGCAACACCAGCCAGCATTTGCCTCAAATCTTCACCAGCAATCAGAAACCATTGCCCTGGAAAAGACATGCACCAGTTTTCTTTTTATATGCTAAAAACCAGCAACAAGAAGGCAAATAGACTGATGTGCCTGCATCACCTTTCAGTTTAAACCCTGCAAAGCATAATAGCCAACATGGCCAGAGCTTCAGTCTAAGCCACTGGGCAGAGATGTACATAATAAATAGAGCCTGCAATATGAAATTAAAAAAATAAATAAATAAAAGCAGGAAGACCAAAAGCAAATGAGATGTTCTAATAGAATCCACCAAACTCAGCCCTGAAGGAGGAATAAAATCCATTTGACAAAAGTTTTATGCCTCATTTAGCTCCTTCCTAAAACAAATCTTCAATGCTGGATGGTGTTTTTTAACCCATGTGTACAACTTTATCTTTGCATTTCCTCTTGAGAAGCCATTGAAGGGCTGGAATAGGTCAACTCACTGATAATCCTAATTGGAAGATGCCATATATCACATACATGCAGTTTGAAATGAGTCTGTCCTGCTTACATTGTTAAAAATATCAGAAATGGAAAGATTATCAATGAATTATCTTTTCAATCTGTAAATCCTGGAAACGGACTAGATTAGCCTTCCCCACGCTGCTGTCCTCCAGATGTTGGACTTCAACCCCAGCCTCATTAGAGGATGACATTTGAAATCTAGCACATCTGGAGAGCACCGAATTGCTAGAGAGCTAGCTAGATGGAAAACTATGAGAAGATGAGCAGCAGTAATTTTTATAGTAACAATAGAATTATAAAGATTGAAGGGTAAGGATGATTATATTTTCTGATTTTTGAGGTTTGTGAAGGATTTGGATTTAGATTGTTGTACTTTATTATGTTGGAACTTTGACATTTATGGGTGCTTGGTTTGGGGATTGTTCAAAGTTAATAAGTGACATCTCTTGTTAAAAAGTAGGATTTGGACATTAAATAGAATCCTTGTGGATTTTATTTCTTTGTTTATTCAATTTATGCCCACTACAATTTCCAGATTCTCAAACTGGGCAAGCTATTAAATCCTTTACTTTAGTGATCTGTCCATGACATCACCAGGAATCAAGCTCAGCTGAAAAGTGATTTTACATATACCTCACCTGAAAAGTAGTTGTAATACATACCACTTAATAGTAAATGCATACATATTTTACAAGATCAAATCATCAAAAGTCTAAAAGTCTAATCCATGCCATGCAAATAAAATAGAATTATGCAATTTTACTTGCAGTTACATATAATTTACTTGCAGGATAAGGGTGAGTCCTTGAGATCTGTTATTTGAGTCCTTGGGACCTGAATGTTTTTATAAGGCACCTGGTTGCAATCCTGTACATAGTAGAAGTAAATTCAATAGATTTCAGTGGCACATGATTCTTAGAAGACAAGCACAGAATCACATGGTGTTCATGGTAAAATTCCCAGTTCAAAGATAGAAAATTGTCCCCTTCAGATATTTCAATACCCAATCATGCTAATGTCTAAATTCTAAAGGATCTGGGGGAGGGGGCTACAGTTCCCTATCCTGTACCCCAGACTTTCACCTTGAACTTTGTGGAATGTATTTGCTCATATATAAGTCTGCTGAGATTGTCAACAATTATCATTCTTTTCTCCCGTTAGGCTCAGAATCGAAAATGCGGGAGGTTTGTGCTGGTTGCAACACCCCAATCTCAGATCGCTTCCTGCTGCGAGTGAATGAGCGCTCTTGGCACGAAGGCTGTGTGAAGTGTGCTGCTTGCCTCCAGCCTCTCTCGGGAACATGCTATTGTCGCAACAGGCAGCTCTACTGTAAGCATGACTATGAAAAGTAAGTGCCCTGAAGTTTGACTGTCTGATTAACTTGTATATTTGTCTTTGTAAGTAATTCACCAACTGAGGGAAAAAGGCAGGCTGTTTTCAAAAATGATTGTGAAGGGATGTATTTATATGTGAATGCATGTGGGTATATATCCATCTATCTACCTCTATGTGCACACACTTACTTAGAGATGAGTTGACAGATTTGCAAGTTGACTTCGGTTGTCACCAATATCATATGAACAATTTTCAATCTACATCTAGCAGTAAATAGCTAATGCTATTTGATGTCACAATAGACACTTGCAGAGGTTGTGCTGTCATCAGCTATCGTGCATGCAGTTGTAATGTCACAGAGAAACAGAATAGCTTATTGCCGGGCACAGATTAGACAACTAAAAATTGGAGATGCAGAAACTGCTTAGTCCCTTTGGTCAAATCTGAATGTTTGTACAATGACATACTGTTGTGGAATCTGAGTAATTCTGGAATCGCGTTGACCTGTTATGTATGATGTAGTGTACGTTTTTATTACAATCTTTTCTTATCTAAGGACCGTAGTTCTCTAAGGGAAGAAGACTTCTGATGAATGAGTTTACTGCTTTGTGAACAGATTGTTAATGTGTTGAAGCCCAGTTTTGAGGCGAGGATATATTATGAGTAATAAGGAACACTGCAAGCGTTAGCTTATTTTGTGCTAATTTATTCTTCTGTGTTGAAGTTGGAGTTCAAGGAGGTGTTTGGCAAGTGAACAGCACTGCTTAGACAGTGATTGATAGAATGTAATGTAGGGATCACAAGTCAGTAATGCAATGCCACTACAGTTAGTATGAAGGCAGTAGTTGTTGAAATAACAGATTTGGTGTCTGAGCAGCTAGAGGCTAGAATTAGGAGCAAAAATCAGACAAGATATTAAGGGGTCTTTTTTTCTGGGAGATAAAAATATCTAAAATTGGAAATTATAAAGAAGTTGCAAAAATAGACCTACATGCACACAGTACATACTCCTCATGCTGTTCCCTTTCAAGACAAGCAATGAGTTCCCTATAGCTTAATAATGTCATTGATTGTTATTGGCTTGAAAGCATGATGCTTGAGAAACATCTTTTCCATAAAGGAAGTATTAGGTCCTCTTCTGGAAAACACTCTCTTGGATAAGTGGGTAACCCCATTCTGTGGGTTGCCCAAAACCAAAGAACTGGGTTTTGATTTTCCTTCCTTCCTTCCTTCCTTCCTTCCTTCCTTCCTTCCTTCCTTCCTTCCTTCCTTCCTTCCTTCCTTCCTTCCTTCCTTCCTTCCTTGCCTGCCTGCCAAATCCCTGCAGTGTTGTCAGCAAGATTCCAGAGTGCTTTGCCATTGCCTCCTTAGGGCTGCAGAGAGGGACTGGCCTAAGGTCACTCAGCGGGATTCATGCCTAGAGCTGAATTAGAACTCCCAGTCTTCCAGTTTCTAGCCTGATACCTTAACTGCTACACCAAACTGGCTCTGCAATTCTTTGCTGACTACTAATTACATAGATTAGGTTTAAGTACATAGTTTAGATCAGTGGTTCCCAATTTTTTCCTTCATTACCCAAAGCTGCTTATTAGAAAGTCCTTTTTACCCAATATAAGTACAACTCTTTAAGTCAATTTAAATACCCCTGTTCTGATTGGGTAATAGGTTCGTGTGTCATTACTTAAAGAAAAACTGCTTTTATCCAATTTAGAGTAATATGTCCAGGTTTGGGAAGCACTGGTTTAGAGGACTGTTTTTTTCAATGACAATTGTGTTTATAAAAGAAAATATGTCTACATAATTGAAAGGCTTTTAAAATGTGTGTGAGACAACCTGTTTGATCTCATAATAATAAAATATTACCTTGCTGACTTACTTTTGAATCACAACCAACATCTTTTGCGAATGGGAAAAAAACTGTTTCATATTTTATTATGTTTTCCTTATGCTAATTTGACTAGGTTCTTTGCTTCAGATTCCCCGCAGCTTTACAATGATTTGAAAATTCAACTTTCTTTTCACTCGAATAAAATAACTACACTTCTGTCATGAATTCCTGGGGCTTTTGTCTCCTTTCCAGGAAAAAATGTCCAGTGATGTCTGTGTGTTGCCCACATTACATTTACTCCATGATTTGCATTACAAAAGTGAAGATGAGGAGAGAGGGTTTAACCTTTTCCCTACCAGTAGCTTCCCATTTTTCACAAATCATGCTTTCCTCCTGCATTTAATTTTGCCAATATCTCAGACTTAGGCAGTGGTGGGATTCAAATATGTGAACAACTGGTTCTCTGTGTGGATGCCACTTCGGAAGTCCATTCTGGGCCTGGGCAACAAAAAATTAGCTACCGGTTCTGCCAAACTGGTGTGAACTGGCTGAATCCCACCACTGGAGTTACCTTGCAAACATGATTCTAAATACCTGAACCAGTAAAGGAAACAAGAATTGGGTGGATGACATTGAAGTTCCTTTTACGCCCATGCAAATCTTTTCCTTCTGAAAGCAATAAATAGGCAGGAAGAAAATAATAATTATTTGTATGTATGTGCTGTCCAACTCCCAGATAGGAAAAAAAACTCTAGCTGCTTTATTACAGCCAATTGCGGAAAACTAAACAGGACTATACTATGCTCCTGATGTAGCAGTGTATATGGTAGGTATATGAGTACTTTTATAATTTTTCACATGCTCTCTGTTCTTTGGTGATATTACATGCCAAGTTTCTCTTCTAAGATCAAAAGAAAGAGAGAGAGTACAAAGAAGATGTGGCATCTTTTGTAATAGCCTACCCTAAAAAGCTTACAGTGGTATTAACTTATGAAACTGTGAAGTAGAATAAATGAGTCTAGAGTAATCCAAGATTACTCTATTTGGAATAAAAATGATCTGATTGTGAGCATTTTTTGTAAAATCTAATTCTGGTTATTCTCAGAATATATATTCTGGTTAAATGTTGCTGAGCTGTTGTGTTTAGTATATTGTAATTAATTGATCATAGTATTTGACATTTCATGATAGTTAATATGGTAGAGTTGGATTATTTAATAAGTAATATATAAAAGATGAGCAGGCGGAGCTCTAAGAAAGAGTTAAACATGTTATCAATTTGGAATCTTTGTGCTCCCAATAAATGATCTAACTCCAACCCCCTGAGAATTCCACTGACCTTTATCTAGCACCAGTTTAGCTTTGGCCATTAGTTAACCAGGTTTTTTTTTTTTTTTTTTTTTTGTACAGATAGCAATAATAAACTCTGTAGTGTTTTGAACTCAGCGAGTGTTCCTGGTTCTTTGAACCTGACATTATAGTGGTGATTAGCAGCCGAATGTACTTATTAGTTGGTATGAAATCACATGCAACAATGACATGTAATGGCAACTAATGTTTAACAGGATTCATAGGGAACATGCAATAATATTAACTTTTGAAGATTTATTTCTTGATTGATGTCAGCCAAACCAAGATGGACATCATCAGAACTAAACTGTCTATTTTCTGATGAAGCTGTACTTTCTACATGCACACTGTGTTTTTCTTTTTTATTTAAAAATGTTCCCATTCAAAAGTTGTGTGTGGAAGTCAGGCATTTCCATGCATATAAAATATTTGCAAATATTCATTTTAGTTTTGACTCACAGATCTTTATTGTTAGATATGGGAAATTTACATTTTCTACCATTTTCTACTGTTCTATGTTGGTTTTCATTAATAGTGCTAGCAATTTATTCAATGACATTGCTAATTGAGTTGCTTTACCTATAAATAAATGTATCAATCTATCTGTGCAGTGGATAAAAAGAAATTCATGGGAATAGTACAGTTTGGAGAAGAGTGCAGAAAAAGTTTTGAAAATAATATTAAATATGTATGCTTGAAATTATGTAAACATTTTAAAGGTCAGTTGTAGTAAGATTTCTATTGACTAGATGCAAAGTGTTGATGTTCTAACTGCAAAACCAGATTACAATAAAAATAAAAAATGCTGCGTAAGTGCCTATTATTGGATACTTCTGTGTCAGTTGACATTAATATGTGAAGATTGCAAAATCTAGCTTTCTAAGTTTTAAAGTCTAATATAAAAAAATTTCTAAGTGGGTCAAATAATTATTTTCTTGGTGTATTTTTCAGAAATTTGTATGAGTACTCACATGAAATAACTTTCAAGGACATAAAAGGAGACTCGTTTTTCTGACTACAGAAAGACAATATTAGGATATGCACGTATTACTGGGAGAGCCCTTTTTATATCATATCCATTCCTTCATGGATTTGCTAGATTCTGTTGTTACCTATTGGCTTTAATCTCTTGGTCCTCTAGGAATCAAATCCACTTTTTCATTAAGTGCTTCTCCATATTCACAGAAATAATTGTGCAATTAAGCATTATTAGTGTCTGTGTTTTATGGACTTTCAGCGAGTCCCCTTCAACTTAGCATGTCAACCTGGAATTTCCCTCTTCAGGTGACAAGGTGCCTTGTTTCATTTGTGTACTTTAAAATTATGCTCATCCAGCCAGCTGCCTTTGGAGGCTTTCCAACTGAGGACAGCCCTGGACATTTGCCCTGAACATTTGGTGCACCCTCCTTGAACCCAAAGAATGCCAGTAAGCATCTGTACATTTCTTCTTCTTCTTGCCTATCCCTTCACTCCCCTCCCTTTCCTGTCTTCCTATCAACACTGTTGAGACTAAGCTTGTGTTGCATGCTCCTAAGGGCAAGGACCTTCCTTCTTTGTTTATTGTCTAGAAAAACTGTGCTGGTTGAGAATGATTAAATGAAAATTCCTCCCTCAGTCCTTGCACTGTCCTTTGCCAGCTAGTGAGAAGGATCAAACCATATCGTAGATGTTTTGCAAACATTCCTCCACTTTCTCAAATATATTATTATGGGTTCTTAATAGAGGGCATTTAGTTTGCAACTTCAAAAAAGGAAGGGGCTGCAGGGAGCATCCACCACCCTGAATGTATTTCCTTCAACACTTTCCAGTGATAAGCTGGAAAAGAGCCTGTAGTA